ACACACACACACACACACACACATTGTTAAGAAACTACAGTTCATTTATCAGAACAGGCTGGGAAAACAGCAAAACAAAAACAGGAGAAGGAAAAAATCATAAGAATAAACTGACAATGTTTGGGTGCGTGTCCTGCATCCTGTTCCTCATGTTGGTCATCACGTTGTCGAACATGCTGAAAGGGTTCCTCATCATGTCCTGTGCAAATACAAAAGGAGAAGATTGGTCAAATGCTGGTAGAATTTAATGCCTGTACTCTTGTGTCATCTGGGACCCGTTTCAGAAAAAGATTTAGTGAAAACTCTGAGTTTGTTAACGTTTAGCCTGAACTTGTTTTAACAGAATTTCAGGCACAATATTTAAATTTTGTACGTGTTAAAATATAGTCTTTAAATGTTTTGAAGAAAGATTATTCTATGTGAAATTTACACTCAGTTTTAACCATGGACTATACATAAAGCTGGACGACATGACCGTTCTAGAGTAGCCAAACCGTCTTTGTGGTTTGCTACATTATTTGGTCATAAATCCCTCCTCCATGTTAGCAGATGGGATATGGGTCAAGCTAAAAAGTCAAAGTCGGTCATTTTTAGTAGCTCGTATCACACTGATGTATGTTCAATGCTACATTTTCCAGTAAGTTTTAAGTGGGACCTTGATACCACAGCTCCACCACCTAATCCCCTCCACTGCAGTGACATCATCAGAGCAAGATGACGTTTGTATCTGAAATATTTTGCCTTCATTTCTGGATAGTGGGAAAAAGTGCAGACGTTTCATCCGTCTTTATATAAACAGTTTTAACCTCGAAAGGTTTCCAACTGCAAATCCCCCAAATCATGAGGATGTTGGGTCAGATCATGAGATTACAATCATAGATCAATAAACTATCCATCCATCCATTTGATTGTTTGATCTATATCATCTCCAGCTGCCAGCAGCTCTTTGTCCAAATTAGGTCACATCAGTTGTATTTCAGACTTAATCGTCCATGAAGAACTACACTGAATAAAACGTAATCGTGTTAATAACATATTGTCCTTTTTCCTGCTGCAGCTGCTGCGATTTTTACAACATAAATGTGCATGGACACATTCATCTTTGTAGCTCCACTGGATTAAAAGCTCTGCTCTTTACGGGCTGCCACGGTAAATCAGCATTTCAGAAGTCCATTGATGATGATCTTTTTTTCCATTCAACAATAACATGCTCGGACGTGATTGAAGTGACTGTGATCAGCTGTTCTGGTTTACCATCAAACGTTCCAGGGTTAGACTCAGAGTTTGTTGAACCTGTGTTTGAAGCAGCCCCTGGGCCATCGGGCATTATCAGCTCGTGAACAACTATCATGTGTATAAACATACGGTGCATGCAGAGTGCAGTGTGCTAAATGTGTCTTACATGTGTGCTGTCTGGGAGATTTTAACGACATCCACATTTTATCACTTCACCATATATGACCCAGTGACGTGAATAACAAAGGAAACAGAAAGTAGAGACCAAGTGCAGCACACAAATACACACAGTGTTGGATGTCTTTGTTTAGGGTTTTTACTCCATAGAGAATTTATAAAATGGCAGTATTATTTTATTGTAAACCTTTTTTTTAAATATTGTATGTGCATGAATTCGACTGCATTATGTTACATCGGTTGGATTAATGTCAGGGCGTAGACAGAGTATATATTCTGGAAAAAAATCTTGATTGTTATATTTGTCGATTACCTTGTAAAACGCAAATCAAGTCACTGTTACTTCATTTTGAACCAGGAAAGAAACCCTGTTCATCACTCTAGTCAGTCATGTGTGTTGCTGTAAGATGCATCAGTCACCACACATTCAAAATAGAGATAAACAGAATGTGTCTTTATGAAACATGTCCAACTTGTTTCCAGTCAAATCACTCATTATCAAATTATAAGAAATAACACAATAATTTCCTGATAGTATATGTTTGTAGAGGAAACCCTGTGACCCCATCACAGGCTGAGTCAGTTTAGATGAGAGCATGCACATGGTCAGTATATCTGTGAATGAGAAACTCATGATAGCAGACGACTCTACTGACCGTGCTGTCAGTACTGCCAAAGGGAAGCAATGACCGGCTCATATCCTGAGGAATCAAACAATATCATCTTAGCAACAAGACACAGTATTGTGTTTTTAAAGCATGGCACTCTCATCTCTCTCTCTTTCACACAAACACATGCATGCACAAGCACACACACACGTTGTGTTGAAGTTGTTGCCAATAAGTTGTTACATCGGTCACTAAGCCCTTGACACAGCTACAATGAGCTCTCCACACGACCTTAAACACAACCCTTCAAGGCCATGAACCCTCTCCGAGTGTGGCCACCGAGGAGTGACAGGCCGGTGAGGAGGGTGCAGCCAGCAGCCTTTAGTCACACTCGGTATTCTCTGAGCCAAAAACTGCAGGTGTTTATGACCCTGCAGCCCTGGATAAGCATCTCAGCAGCCAGCGCCATGTGTGTTTTCTGGGGGTGTGATTCGTTGGGGGTATTGTGCATAATCAGTGGGGTGTTGAATGACTTGTGTTCCATGCGTAATTGGGTCGCATTGCCAGAGATTAGCGCAGGTTTAACACTGAAACTGAGCTTCATTCTAGGAAGGCTGTGGTGGGCTGGGCGGACCGGGCGGGACAGGGGGTCAAAGAGTCCAAGGCTGCTCTCTCAGCTCTTTTCAAAGGTCAAACTGATGTAAAACGCTCCTGACCAGCATGTATGAAGCCTCGCAGCCAATTTTATCTCAGAGTGGCATCTATGAACTAATAAATGTCAGTTACATATCTGCTGGAATATATTTAGATGGGGGCAGTGCAGAGGAGCGTTTGAGGCTGCAAAATAAGAAACACAGATCCGATGGTCTGTAGCACAGTATTTTAGTCTCTCTGGATTACTGCAGGTCTCTCTATCAGTCTGATACTGAACCTGCCACTGTGCCGTCTGATGCACACTGCTCCTGCTCCTTAGAGAGCTGTGGGTTAGGGCACATGTACTTTAGATATGATACATACTTAAAAAAGTGACGTTGTGCTTCAAATGCATAGAACGTACTGAAGCTGCTTAATGTTGTTAAGGTGAATATTGGGTTTAGAATTTCACACTACCTCCAGAGCAGCAGGAAAACGCTGACATAAATATACAACAAAATTAGATACCGTCTCCTCTCAGAGACACCACTCTTGCTCAATTGAACCACAGAATCAAAGACAATATATGTAACTCGTAATGATTGGCATTTGACAGCACTTAAATAAACAACGGCCCAGATAAATGAGTGCACTGAAAGGTGATATGAACCCGATAGTGGATATTGGCAAGAGACTGGGAAATGTGAGCACTCACAGCAGGCTTGGGAGGTAAGAAGGGGCTTATTTTCCACTGGGAACTGAATGCTAATAGCAGAAGAAGAAGCCTGCCAGCATTATAAGGCCAATGTGTGTGTGTGTGCATTGGAGTGCATGTACTTGCATGCCGGCGTGTCTGTAATTTTGCATGCTATGACTGTGTATAATTGTTCTTGCAAGTATGTTTTAATACTGAATGTGTGCGTATGTGTTTTTTTTTATTTGTGTGTAACATCTGTGCCTGTGATATAGGAGAGCAGTATGATGAGACTGAGCTGTCTGTCATCTAGCTGCTAATGCACCGGCACTGCCAAGGCACATACTGCCAGACAGATGGACCAAGAGAGCAACAATGAGAAAACAAGATGTTCCATGAGATCCGCACACACGTCTTTACAAAGCAACAGGCGAACACAGCACCAGAGCGTCAGCCCTCTGACCACTGCTGGGCACAACAAGACTGACCCTGTTAAATATGCCTGATTACTGAAACTTTAAACATGCAACTAAAAGTGTCTCCTAATATTAGATTCAACAATTTGTTTGGATGGAAGTTTTACAGGGTCGTTCTATTTCACCCACTGTCAATGAGGTCATTAGTCAAGTACTCAGAGCCCCTCCTCAGCCGGTATTAGTAAGATAGCGGCATGATGCTAATAATGAGAAAGCGGGCTGTTGGCTATCAAGGGCAGGCTTCTGATGAAAGTCATAATTAAGGATAAATATACAGGCTCCCATGAGGTAGAGGGATTAAAGCAGGTGACAGGGACAAGGTTTGATTTAGCAGGGATAAAGAAGAAGTGAAGGGGGTGATCTAGGAGAGGTTAACGGGTGCACTGTGGTAGAGAAGAACTACCAGCCTTTACTATACCAGCCAGCCAATTCACATCGAAATGTTCCACAGTAAGCAACTGCTCCAGAGGAATTTTTCTTTCTAACCATGGTATCTATATCAAATATTGCATGTCTACAGCCTTTAGAGCCGTATTCGTATACAGTTTAACATTATTCAAAGACTTAGGGGGAAGCAGTTCGATTTGAAGAGAAACTATCTTTTAAATGAACTAGGCCAGCAAGAATAATGTTAAAACAAACAGTTATTTTCAGCAGCAGCTCTTCTCAGCAGAGCACAGCACAATTCTCTGGGGTCCTATTGGTGTGAGTGTTAAAGAGGTCTGCATGTGTACGCGCAAGAAAGTAGTGTGTCAGTGGAACAATGCACTATAAATAGGGCTCCTCTGGGCCAGATATAACTGTCCAGAGAGGCCAAGGGGGTTACCCTTCTACTAAACTAGAAAATCACATGATCCCCATACCTCAGTGAGTGGTGCTCCAGTTACGCGGCCAGTGGCCAGAATCCACTATAACCTCAGTAAACTTAGCACTTCCTCTAAACACTAATCATCTGTGGTTAAAAGCCCATGAGCAGAGGACAGAGAGGGACATAAGATGTATAAGTGAACTGTTGACGCATGGGCTTCATCCTTTATCCCATATAGACCCAAATGATAAGATGTAGATTAGTCGTGGATATACACACACATGTCTCTTGTCACACACTCTGTATAGAGCTTTAATGCCCATCACCTGAGACCACAAGTATACAAACAAGTCAACTTTGTAAAATGAGTGCTTTTCACCCTATGTTCATCCCTCAGTGCCAGGGATGAGCCAGGATGCTCCACCATGTCGTGACCACGACTTCTCCCATCCATCATACTGGGCATTAAGGGCCCGCCAAACGGCTCAGAGAAGCTCCGCATCATCTGCCGCATGTGTTCCCTGTGAGCCCGGAACGGATCCCTATTGGAGAGGAAGAGGAGGGACAGACTTTACAAGTGAACCCCAGCTTTTACTCATGAAGGAAATGCTGGAGGTGTGAATCATGAAAAATGTCTAAGCACTTAGTTACTATATTTGAGAATAACTCCTGACTTCTACACCAGCTCTTGTGTGACAACAACACACTGAAATAAGAAGCAAGCCCAAAATAATATGAGCCACCCTCTCACCAGCCTGGGGTCGGGTGGCCACAGTCTCACTCAGCAGGTTGTGTTCCCTTCCCTCAAGTGCAGCACAGTCAGTGTCAGTAAAGTTATTCACAAAGATCAATTATGAATTACTGTCTCCAGATTGCACTTTTTCTTAATGCTGCACTTTTTAAAATGTCTTTCATATTATGTTAAATAAAAACATGTATCAAGCTTTTAGTACAAGTACATGCATGAAAATGAAATAACACCGTTTAATTCAACTTTTAAGATTATTTTGAAGATATGACAAGAGTCAGTGTGTCCTCACAGGAGCTGAAGTACCTGAAATATAGCCCCACAGGCTAATGTGCTAGTGACTCTGTTGATTACTAATGTGGTATGATCGCTCTCTGCTTCAATGTATTTTTGTATTATTTCACAAGTTACAGTAATTGGTGCTAAAGAAAACATATCAAACAATGATTTAAACGCCAACGTTTCGTTTTAATGGAGAAATAAGTGAATTTCTCAGCAACTCTCTCGTTAACTTTGCAACCGAAATGAATTCCCAGCGGTAACTTCAGTGTGTGGACATATTCTGGACTTGCTAATAATTCATTTCTGAAAACAAACGTTAAAAGACAGTCACGGTTCAGACACTCACGAGAAGAACGGGTCGTCGTCAAAGTCCCTGAAGTTGCTGTTGAACATCTCCACCGGATGTGAGGCTGTGAAGCAAAAGACGTTTTTAAAAGGTTTGAAAAGTTTGAAAGTTTTGGAAGAAATAGTCCGTGAGCGCCACAGGTGCTGCGGCTCCGCTGCTCCGCTGCTCCGCTGCTCGGTCCCGTTGCTATGGAGGAGGAGGAGGAGCTCCTTTAGAACCGACGGCCACCACGTGACAAGAATGCGACCCTCCGATTGGCTGGTTATTCGCGGCTTCGAACAGGAGCTGTCCGCGCGCTGTATGTTGTGGGTGGCTGTCATGGCAACGACAGTGTAGACGCGTGCACGCAGCACCAGAAGAAATCAGTCTGACTCATTCAGATACAACCATTGACTGTCTGTCTGTCCGTGATCCATAGAAACACACAGAGGTCTATTCTGAAAGACTGTGAAGTCGATTTACACTGAAAGTACATTAAAGGGATGGTTCACCCAAAAATTAAACTTCATCATGTACTCACCACCATGTGGATGGAGGTTTGAGTGTTTGAGTCCACAAAACACTTTAGGAGTTTCAGGGGTAAAAAGTTGGGGACCACTTCTTCAAACATACAAATTCAACATAAAATGCCTCCATACTGCTCCTGTGGTGTCATCCAAGAGTCAGTAATCGCCAACATATAAATTTGACTCGATGCAAGATGATCACGGCTCTGGGCTGAGGATCAAAGCGGACACTTAGGCTTAAAACACGGTGTAAATGACCTCGGATTTGAATGCCGGGGCTTACAGACACCACAGGAGCAGTGTGGAGGCATGTCATGTTTTTTCTCTGTTGTTTTTATATGTTTGAAGAAGTGGTCACCATTTACTTCTATTGTATTGGATTTGGCTGCAACACTGTCGACCCCTGAAACTCCAAAAGGGTTTCAAACACTTCACAGCTCCCTCTATCGTCATAGTGGTGAGTAGATAATGAGTGAATTTTCATATTTGGGTGAACTATCCCTTTAAGAGCTCTCACAGGACTCTGATCAGCTGTTGGCTTTTGTTTTTAAGACAAAGTAAATCAGAGGCTTCCACCTTCAAAACATGACTTAAAGCCCACCTCTTCACAACTGCTTGTGATTCCTGATTAATGGTTTGTATCTTGCATCTTTCACTGGTGTGCTTTTATTTGCTTTCTGTGTTTTTCAACCTATGTAATGTAACTTGGAGCATTTGTAAAAGCGCTATAGAAATAAAAACACAGGTGCACCCTCTGTGAGGCAGTGTGTATGTGTGGACTTCCTTATGAAACATGCACAGAGCTGTGACAGGATCGCTTCTCAGAATGTCTCACTTTGCTGACCATGTCGAGACCTTCGAAACTGACATGTGTTAGAGTAATGGACTTAGTGACACAGAAAACAAGGCTGGAAATAAACAGGATATTGACATGTTGCCTTATCTCTTAACTATTATAGTAATAGTATTATTGTTTTATTTCTTAAATCAAACTTTAAAACTATAACAAATTAGACACAAATAAGTGAAAGTACATCCTTTTACATCATTGATTTGCTATCATTAATCGTGTTTTATGATCTGATCACTATAGCATTTGTTAAATTGATACAATGAAAAGTCAGACTTGCAGCTGAAAAAAGAAAACCATGCATGTGTAGTTTGAAAAGTGCTGAACAGACACATTGAAGTAAAAAGGAACCTGGACTCCAGAGTGATTTGAAGATATTAGTCTGAGTTTAAGTCTGACGGGACAATCAGCTTCCTTTCCTCTTAATTTATTTTACTAAATCTTTGTCATCCTGGTATTTCAGAGAATGTTACACTCTGAATGTCCCTGAACACATCACACCTCATACATTTAAAATCAGATCCAGGCCTGTGGGATTCCTTACATTCCTTGAAGTCGTCTTTTAGCCCACTCTTGTTCATTTCTTTTTATGTGACACAGAGAGAAAAACCAAGTGAAGTTTGAGTGTGAGAGTCAGGGCTCAGGGTCAGACTGGAGGCCGGTCTGGATCGCTCTGGTTTCACTGGGGCAGAGCTTTGAGGACGGTGTTGATTTTCTCTGTGAAACCAGTCCATCCAGTCTCCAAAGACACACGAGTTTCCTGTTTTCAGATTTTTTTGTCAAATGCTACATATGCCTGCAACCTAGTGGACTAATGTGGTACTACATCAGAGTGTTTAGATTATGTGTATGTATAGGCTCTCAAAAAATATAAATGGAACTCAGTCTTTATTTCATCTTATGGATGAAAAACTAAGACGTCTGTGGTTCACGATGATGGGGACAAGATCGTCTTTAAATTGTGCAAATATATTGACATTTTCTTTGCTTTGACTTGTAGTTACAGATATAAATATAGATGGTGGGTTCTACCTACCATGGTTGAAAGACATTGCCCATGAAGGGGGCAACTTGTAGTTATATTTTAAAGCCCCCATTTCTATAAATAGGTCAGAGCGTGTTCGCTACAAATCCCTGCTCAAACTATAGCAGGACACTGACTAAATATAGAATCAATAAAAAGCTTATAGATTTAAGAGAACAAGTTCATCTCCACAATTGGAGAAAAAAAGCAGAAGACATTTTTAATTCAAAAAAATCACAGCAAGCTTTATTCACTGAGTTGATTACAAAAGACAAAAATGTACCAAATGCTTCATCTACACAGTAAAACTTCATTTCGTCTGACTGTAGCATCTGCAGAAAAAAACAAATGAAGCCAAATGAAGAAGTTTCCCTGAATTACATTAACATTAATAAAATAAAAAGCTTATCGGGACCCAAACTTTTTCTTAACTTCTTAAAAAGGTAGAGAAATTAATGAAAGGGTGAAGTTTGTCCTTAAAAAATGTCTTAAGAATGTGTCAGGGGTTGAGATATGATTGAAGCAAACTCGACTGAGTGAACGTTTCCAGGAAGTGGGAAGGTTTCTTCTGGGTTGTTTTGGGTCTTTCAGGTCACAGGACTTCCCATGAGCCTCTCCTGTCGTAGTGAGACCAGTCTGTTGAGCCACAGCTCCTCCGCCTTCTCTTTGTCCATGAATAACTACAGGAGAGCGTAGAGAAGACAAATTAGCCCCAGAAAGACACTGGCACAGAAAAAGACAGGGACCACACCATCACCATTGGTGTGTGTGTGTGTGTGTGTGTGTGTGTGTGTGTGTGTGTGTGTGGTATAGATTATTTTTCAACATCAGGCTAAGTTTTCAACTCTGTGATGCTTTATTTGATTCAAAGTATGTGACAAAAACAGTTGTGGATCTACAGAAATGTGTGTAGGACAAACCAAAAATATAATAACTTGTAGATTTTGTTCTTTAAAACATAAAAAAAATAATGAAAAATCTAATTGTTTGTTCAAAAGCAGCTAATTGACACTGTTACACACATGTTACAATGTGAAATCATACAATACCTTTTACTTGATAAATTACCTCAACTATTAGACAGATAGATAGATAGATATACTTATTGATCCCAAATTTGGAAATGATTGTGTGACAGCAGCATGTCAGTTAATCACCGGTCAAAATGAATACACCAAACCATTTTCCACAGTCTACCACACACTTGAATGAGCCGTGTTTCCCCCTGAACCCATGAACCCGACACAGGGCTGTCAGTGCAGTGACCCCCGCATGACTTCAGTGTGGAGTCAGATGGCAACAGTGAAGTCTGTCGTGTCTCACATGTCATCCTAGTATTTTCTTATATCCTCACAAATGCACAGAAGAAAACCTTTAGTTCAAACCTATAAATCTAGTTCTCTGGGCCTTAGAGTGCGTCACCGGGGTGATAGATCAGCTCTACACGTGTGACTGGTATTCACATCAGTACATCACCAGCAGTGATGATATTGATTGTAAGAGGACTATAAAACCGCTGCAGCAAGTGTCTGATGAATGAAGGCATCTGTTTATTGGGAAGTAACATAATGACTATGAGAGTGAGAAGCAAGGCTCCGGGAAATATGGGGGAAATTGGAAGATCATCATTTCTATATTCACTGTGTGCGTTTGTGTGAGGGTGAGAGATAATGTTGACATGCTGGCTGTGTGTATACACTGAACATCTATGTGACGATACGTGTGTATTATTATGCAGATTGCAGAGCGTCCACGGCCACGTCAATCCCTCATTCCTAACCTATGCTGCTTACAGCTGCACCGCATGTTATCTGTGTGTTAGATTCTACACCAGTGAATTTTTGTCTGTCGGCCCTGCGCTGGTGTCATGGTGCTAATGAGGCTGTGTGTGTGGGATGACAGTATCTGGGCTGGGCTAATGGGACTCATCTGTTCTAATTGGAAGTGGAGCTGGAGCTGGAGCCGATGGCGGGGCCCGCCTGGGGCATATTGCTGCCATACATCAGCCTGTCTGAGGATGTGCATGTGTGTGTGCATGCGAGAGTGTGTGTGTGTATATGTAAGAGTGTGGGTGTGTGTCTGTGTGAGGAGGTTATCTGCATACGTCAGGACATAACTTAGTTTCCCAGTGGAGACAGATGACTGGGAAGCCCTAGGGAGCGTTATTAGAGTTTAAAGTTTTCCTTCTCGTTTTTCATCATTGGTCTGCAGGCACAGGAGGAGGTGATGTTAGGAGGCTATAATCTGCCACACTGCAGTATCCTTTACGATGCACAGTATCAGAATATGAAGGAGCGGTGTATACAGTGGTGATGTCAGTAGATGCAGCGGAATCTTTAAAAAGAAAAAGTTTGTTCACCGATCAATAAAAGCAAGTGCCATACTCATAAAAACAAGACGGTGAAAAAAGATAAAATGACAAGAAGCGAGACAAACTTTCAGCTGCACCTGAGGGGTTGGAGGGTTCTCATTGGCTCCGAGAGTTTTGAAGAGTGCGTGTTATAGAGCTTCAGGACAGCTTGGTGTGATGTTGAAGTAAACAGCGAAATCTAAAGCTTACAATAAAAGAGTTTGACGGGCAAGAACTTACACTGGGATGGGCGAGTGTGTCACTGTCGTCATATACTATGGACATGGGAAGAGTGATGTCCTGAGGATCTGCCCTCAGTGACTCCTGCTTCACCTCAACTGGCTCCGTCTGTACTCACAGAACACAGAACATTCAATCGTTACATTGAGCACATTCAAGCAAACCTTCAAGTATTTAAATAGGTTTAAAAAAAGAAATTGGA